TGTCTTGCTAAAAGAACCGAGGAATTATATTTCAATTGTCTAATATGTATATTCTGGGTAATGCTGATGGATAAAACCAATTGGTACTTCTGTTTCCAGGCCAACATGTAAGGAGTTTGGAAGTTGCCACTTTTTCCTAAGAAGTCAAAAACTAAACAAACTAAAAAAATTAACAGCCATTGTTAAATCCATAAGAAAAATAAGGTTGCTGTATAAACTACTGCCCCTCCATATTGAAAGGACACACAAGCATATACAGGGAGACTCACAACTTGGTAAAGCAGATATCTACCAGCAGATTCCTCTTTGGGAACCACTGTGGTGGTAGAAAAACATAAAATGTAATTGATAAATTTCTGTAGGCTCAGTATGGACCAATCTGAAAGATAAAAATTCCAGGGGAGGAGCCAGTTATATGGAGTCTCAAAATTTTAAAAATGTTATCTCTAGGAGCTTAACCATATTGCCACAATGAGTATTAGAGAAAAATCCTTTCATATTTCTGGAGAGACAGGTATTTTAAGTATTTTGAAATACAACAAACATTCTGTTCTTAAATATATCTTTGTTCAGAAGAAACTATTTAAACAGAGCCTAATCTCTTGAAGTTTATTTGAACTTAACTGAATAGAGGGACAAGAAAACAATTTCATCTTACTTACTCTATAGACTTCAATCTGGGGGAAAGAAAATACTTAATTCTGACTGTCTATGACCATCTTGTTCCACTAAATGGGATGAAAGCCTGAGAAGCACTCACTAGAGACAGACATCTTATCATAAAACTCTAATCACTTTCCACACAAAACTTTCCACGATTGCATTATAAAGGCTAGTTTATAATAGTTACTTTTAATCATTACATCATGGCTGACTAGGTAAAATTATAAGGTGCCGAAGTCTGGCTGTAATAATAAGGCATATTAAAAGGCAAATGGTACAGTCTGAAGAGATACAGCATACATCATAAATGGCTGGGATGCTAGAATTAACAGACTGAGAATTTAAAAACAACTATGATTCAGATGTTAAGAACTCTAATGAATAAAGTAAACAACATGTATCTAAAGATCGGCAGTAGAAGAAAAGAAATGGATCTAAGAAAAAATTAAAAAGTACTAAAGTAAAAAAAAAGCAGTAATGAAAAAAATGGTTTTGATGGGATTATTAGTAGGTTAGACAGAGCTGAAAAAAAAAATCTCTGAGCTATAAGATATCTCAAAGGACAAAATCCTTCATCAATCTAGAATTCTCTGCTTTGGTAAATTACCTTTTCAAAATAAAGAAAACATAAAGACTCTGTCATACAAACAAAAATGCCAGTGTAAGTCCTTTGTAAAAAATGTAAGAAAAGTTATTTAGAAAAAAGGAAAATGATATCAGTCACAAATCAAATCCACATAAAGAAAGGAAGAGCATCAGAGAAGAAATAAGTTAATGTAAATTTAACTTTTTCCTTTTCATAATTGAACTAACTGATACTAGTTAGAATATTGTATTTCATTAAGTTTATATTCATGTAATATATTTACATGTGAAATGAATTGTGACAATGATACAAAGGATGGAAGGAAAGAATGAAGAGTAACTTACTATTATATAGTATTTTTCTTCTACCCATGAGGTAGAAGAAAAATGAGAGTATGTGAGAGTAGAGTTGTCTTATTTGTAAACTCTAGAGCAACAATTTAAAAAAGTAAAAACAAAAGAAGAAAAACAGGAGATACAATTAATATGCTCATAAATGAGAGAAAACAATTATATGAAATGATCAACTTGAACTATAAAAGATATAAATTTAATAAAAAAAACAAAAATAGCCACAAAGAGGAAGGGCAAGATACAGAAAAATGGTAGCAAATACAGTAGGTATTAATTCAACTGCATCAATTATCTGTTTAAACACCAGTGGTTGAAATAGATCATTAAAAGTGTAGTAGATAAAAATCAATAGCCAAATATACTAATGCACACTGTGTAATGATATTTCAATCAGTGGCAGACTATAAGATGGTAGTTCAATAAAATTATGTTAGAGCTGAAACATTCATATAACCTAGGGACACAATAACCTTCATAATGCCAGCACACAATGTATTATCATGTGCTGTTGTTGATCAAAAGGTTCTATATTACTATCATCTAGATTTTTTTTTCATTTTTACCAACACCTGTTCTTTGCATTCCTATGCTTGTGTATGTGCCATGCCCAGACTAGAGCAACAATATCAAACTTGCTACTGATTAAAAGTGTTTATCATCATGAAAATCTCAGCTTTTGTGTTGAACCACAAGACACACCTTAAGCAATTTAAAATAGAAATCACAAAATATCTGCTCAGAGACCATAATGGAATTAAGCTATAGATCAATAAAAGAAAGATAGCTAAAAATACCTGTGTGCTTCAGTATTCAACATCATACTTCCAAATAAGTAAATAAATAAATAATTTAGAATTATTTTCATGAAAATGAATCACAATTTATCACAATCTGTGAGATAGGCGAAAGTAATCATTAGAAAGAAATCTAGAGTATTGATTCACATATTAGAAAATTTAAAAAAATATATCTAAAATGAATTAATTAAATTTCAGCATAATGGGAAAGAAGAGCAAATTAATAGAGTAAGCAGAAGAAAACAAATCATAAATATTATAGCACAAATAAATGAATTTGAAAGATGAAATCACAGAAACAGTAAAACTGAAATGTAGTTCTTTGAAAAGATCAATAGAATTGCTGAGCTCCTACTTAGGGCAACTCAGTCAAAACAAGACAAAGATAGGACACAAATTTATATCAGAAATAAGCCAGAGAACATCCACAAAACAGCACACAATTATTGATAGGATAATGAAGAAATAGGTAAACAACTTGATTACTACATATGTATATCCTCAATTAAATACATAAATTCCTTATGAAAACAAAGAATAGAATATCTGAATTAACCTATATCTAGTGAATGTATTTAAACTATAATTAATAATATTTATAAACAGAAAATTCCAGGCCCAAATGCTTTACAGTGAATTCTACAAAACACTTTAGGAAGAAATTGCATTAGTCCTCCACAGTCTGTCTTAGAAGCAAATAAAATACTTCCTAGCTGATTCAGTGAGGCCAGCGCTACCTAAATACTAGTCAGAAAATCATGGACACAGAATGAAGAACAAAATAAAATTTATACCTCATGGGAATGAGCTCTTCGGTAATCTTCATTATTGTGCTAGATTTTATTTACTTGAATCCCCTGGTCAGACAATGTTGTTAACATGCACTCATCACTTGCCACAGGCATTTGATTTTAAGAAGTGGAAAGTTTTTTAACAGTGTGTGCAGGCAAATATCTACAATCTCAGCTACTCAGGAAGCTAAGGCAGGAGGATCACAAGTTCAAGGCCAGCTTGTACAATTTAGTAAAACCCTGCATCTTAATTAAAAAAAAAAAAAGACTTCAGATACAGATGACTGGTAGATGGTTGCCTAGAATGTGTAAACACCCGGGTTTTATCTCCAACAGTGAAAAAAATCAAAGTTTCTTTGTTACTAATATCTAGATTTTTAAAAATTTTTCACCAACGCCTATTCTGCCTATGCTTTGCATTTCAATGCATGTGTATGTGCCATGCCCAGACTAGAGCAACAATATCAAACCTGCCACCAATTTAACCTGTTTTATCATCATGAAAATCTCAGCATTTGTTTAGCCTGTTGATCTTTGGGTCATTGTTGCTTTTCTGTTTGTTTTCTGTTTTGTTTGTAATCTACTATGGTTTTTAAGCATTCATTTCAATGTCATATGTCCATTATTACAGTATTAAAGAGATTATTTTAAGCTACCCTTAATGTTTCCTGTGATTTATATTTTCATTTCTTCCTTCCCTTGACCCCTGATAGCCACTGACCATTTTATTGGCCCTATATTCTACTTTTTCCAGAATGACATATAGTTGCTATGACATATTTACATAGCCTTTTCAAACTGGCTTAGGTTCCTTTAGCGATATGCATTTAAATTTTTTTTCTATCTTTCCATGCTTTTATAGTTAAATTATTTATACGATTAATATCCAAATATAGATGTTAATCAGTTTATTTGCTCATTAACTTATTAGGAGAATTTTTTGTTTTCAAATTTGGGTGATTATGAATGCAGGTATGGATGTAAATTTTCAATTAACTGTATTATGTAACATCATAATTATTTGTGTAATAAGACTGTGTTTTAAGTAGTTGAAATTCCTTATAAAATCACCAAATAACTTCCTTTTTGTCCTTTCTTTTGTTCATTTTTGAGGCAGTAAGTTTTCTAGTTTCCACCAATTATTAAAAATGCCACTCATTTTAAAAATACAATTAATATTTGAATAATAAAACACATCTTTCTCTATATATACATCATGTAATGATTATTTAAAAATTATCACTTTGAAAAATATGAATATAATAAAAGTCATTGATCACATATTTAAAATCTTTCATGTAAACTAATAAAGACATATAAAAAATGAAGTGTATAATACATGTTTAATCTTCTGTATTTTAAAATATAAGCAATATTTCTGATGATATATTTAAAATGTTAATCAATATTTCTTAAACATTTAAAAATATTTTTATATTGGAAAATATGTTTGGGAGAGAAATGCTTCATGTTATAAATTTTATTTAAGAAATACATTTATTTCCAAAAGTTATTATGTAATAGATTTTAAAATATAAAATACTTCTGCAAAAACCTCCACAATTTTTGGGTGAATAGCGATTTGGACAAAAAAGAAGTTTCTTGCAATTTATTCTGCATGAAAATATCTGATGAAATGAATTCAAATGGAAAAAAAAAATCTCGCTGGTATTCTGACCCCAAACATTTTGGATTTATTCAAAGAAGGTAGCATTAAGTAGAGGTTTTAAACTGTGTTCTACATTGCATCTATTTTTACATTCATATGTCAAGATCTTTTTCTTTTCCTCTCTCTCTCTTTTTTTTTCAGGAAAGATGGATCAAAAGAACCAATAGTGGAGATGAGAACAGAAGATGAAAGAATTACCAATCACGAAGATGGGAGCCCAGTAAATGAGCCAAATGAAACCACACCGCTAACAGAACCTGAGTATGTAGATGAAATAGTTACTTGTTTTCAAACAAATATTAGCAAAATGATGGGTCATTTGCATAATTTGTTATATGTATTTACACATATCATTGTTTATGAAAGAATTGTATTATTTCTTTTTAATGGAAGTGGTTGAGTGAATCAAAAGTTGATTTCCTCTTGAGATATTTTTCATGAAAACTTGGCCTCCTTGTCAGAGAAACTCCACTATTAAACCCCATCATTATAAGTTATAATTTGTAACCCTCATGTATTTATGTTTGCATCCTCATAGCTCCACTACAACTATAATAGATATTCTAATTAAACTTGCAAAGGTAAACAGCATGTGCATTTATTCATTCATATAACATTGAAATTATTAAAATCAGAGGCATTATTAAGGAATAGTAGTATTCTTTTGAATGCAGCTGCTGATAACAATAGCAAGATTATCATACTCTGCTACTCACAAAGCTGGTTTTTAAATTTCATTGTTTTTTCAAATTAGTATCTCTCTCTCTCTCTCTTTTTTTTTTTCCTACCAGCTTCCATTCCCTTACAGTATAACCTGATGTGGCATTCTTATCTCCAATTATAGGCTTTTTTGTTTTCACAGCTGAAGAAACTGATTTTTCTCCCAGATATTCCCTCTGTTTGTTGCCTGCATGGTGGTGCAAACCTGTAACCCCAGTGACTCAGGAGGCTGAGGAAGGAAGATCACAAATTTGAGGCCAGCCTGGGCAATTTAGTGAGACTCTGTCTCAAAATGAATAAAAAGTTCTAAGGATGTATCTCAAGGTTAAAGCACCCCTAGGTCACATCCCAGTATGGAAAAAGAAAGAAGAAGAGAGAAAGGAAGGAAGGAGGGAGGGAGGGAAAGAGAGAGAGAAGGGAAAGAAAGGGAAGGGAAGGAATGGAAGTTTCTGCTGCCTGCTCTCAATGACCTATAGTAATATGTAGAAAACTAGAAAGTACTATTCTGTAGCTCATATTTCAGTATAAATGTTCAGGCCAATATTACTGATTGCATTTAGAGCTTATTACTTTCTCAATTGAAGCTAACTATTTGAGAGCCAGCTGTCATAAAGGAGGTTTTATAATCTCCCTTTCAGAAATCAGAAGTCTTTTTAATGAAGAAAAATATCACACACACTCACAGACACACACACAAACACACACACACTCACGATACCCTATTAACACAAATTTATATTGATGTGTGCAGTCTTATTTAACAAAATGCCCTTACATGCAACTAGACTATAATTTAGCACACACTAGATCTTAATTAATAGAACAGAAATATTCAACATAAAAATAATATAATTAGCTGTAATCTTTTAAAAATATTTAATGTAAACCTATGAAGTAAAAAAAAAAATTATACAGAAATATACCACCCACCAATTAGTTGAATACATTTATTCACTAAAAAATAAATACAGACTTCTGTATGTAAAACAATATATTAAACATTATGGTAAATACCTACTAGAGCTCTAAATTTCTAAATATTTTTATGCCAGAAATGGCCTGTTTGCTTCACTATTTCATATTGTTCATGGTTTCATCACATTGAAAAGAGAGAAAAAAATAAATTGTGAATGCACTTTTAATAACATACATAAAAGAACATCCCACATTAAGTACAAAGTAGATGCTACCTCATTCCCAATAATAGATCTTAATTTTTTTGCCTATAACTTACCTTTGATTGATTATTTTTCACATGAAAGCTTTGGTTATCATAAAGTAATTGTTTATCCTCCTTATTCAAAAATATAAAATAAATTACAAATACCAGCTAGCATAGAGGGTTAAATCTGCTATAAAATAATGGGGAATTAGAACAAGATTTGTAAACATATTTAATTCTCTCAATGTGGAAAGAAACATTTTGTCAAGGAAAGAAATTTTACCCCCAAAAATAGTCTTATGCAAAAGATGTAATGATAAACTAGTGAGTGCTAGAACAGTGGAAAAAAGGAAACCTTGAGTCAATATTACAGTAGCTTTATCAAAATTACAAAGAATATCTGGATTGCAGTGACCCATGGGGCTTGCTTAGAATATGCATATGATCATAGGAACATTTGTGAAACTATCAATATTAATAGACAAAGGCTTTTATTGTTTTCTAGGTTATTATTAGAAACAACTCTCAAAAAATGGTATAAAAATGATAAGAAAAATGTAATAGTGAAAAGAGGCCAAAGAAACACATAATAAACACAAAAAGTTCTAAAATATGTTCATCTGCACTGAGTTACAAGTACTATAGCTGTTTCATACAGCAACTATTAACTGTTTGACTTGAAAAGTTTGACAGAGAATAAATCATGTACTTAATATATAAAAAAGCTTGTTTAAAATTTTAAACAGTTATATTTTAGTATCAAATAGTTATCAAATCTAAGCTATCCTATATTGAACAATTTCACTCATCTAAATCCATGTATGCATTTTTCCTACATCTTTTTTTGATACACATTACATTTTTTACAATAGACAATATTGTTTTATTCTTTATAGAACATTCACTTAAATGTTGACGAATATCTCTAACAATGCCTTAAAAATTATATTTATATTTATATTTCCTACCAGAAAATTACCATTAAAAGAAGAAAATGGGAAAGAAGTCCTAAATCCAGAAGCTATAGAAATTAAAGTTTCTAATGACATCATCCAATCAAAAGAAGATGACAGCAAAGCATAACAATATTACCGAGGCTTGATGCACACTACAAAAGAGCATTTGGATTGCAGTGACCCTATGACCAAAACTATTCCACTGACCTTAATTTCTTGGGAAAATTCTAGCTTGGAATAGCTTGTACACATATACATATGATCATATACTCCTGCCCATGGTCCATTTCTTTTCGTTGTTGTTGTCGTGATTGTTCTTTTTGTTAAGAATTTCAGTACAGAGACTTGATTGACACCAACTCTTGGGTTTCAATTGGATTCTATGATTGAAATACTGCAATTAATCATATGGCTAAAGTGCTCTATTTCTTAAGAACTTTGTCTTATAACCAACAAACATATTTCAAACTCTCTAGCACATGAGGGTGTGATGAAAATCAAAAGAAAACAAAAGCTTTCTGATCTAAATGTACAAGAAAGCCCTGCATGTTTATGAAACTTATTTTGGGCCAATGGATTTATAAAGTGGCTTTCAGCTTAAGATGAAGGCACATAGTAGAGGTTACACTTTTTATCAGGGGAATTTCAGGGAACCCAGGCTCGAAGGAGCCAGTAATCTTTAGCAGATATTAAAAATCAAGGAATCTTTGGAGAACTCTTTCAACTAATGATTACAGTACATTTTCAACATTGATTTTGATAGATTGAAGTATCAGATCAAAATTGTTACCCACTTGAAAGAATCTTAGTTGTGTGCAAAATTAGATTAGAAAGACTCCCTGAATCTGTGTCTTTATATATACCATATTCATTCATATTGGATTACACAAAAAGTAAGTGTATTACAAGTAAAAATAATATTGATTTTTGCCCTCAGCTTCAAATAAAATAAATTGAAATGGGAACAATATAAATATGTTGTCTTTCTTAAAGTTTTTGGTCCTTCATTAAATGAAATTGGGTAATGGAAATTAAAGACAAACCTTAGTAGGAAGAGAAGTTACTTAACATTTAAATGTGCCATAAAGTGTCAGTGATCAACAATTGAATTGCCACTGTATTTTTATGCTGAATGTCATAGCTAGAATTCATTTTAAGATTTGGTAAACAATTTTGGTGGACAAAACTCCTGAATTATTCCACATAAACTTTCTAATATCACTTGGTAGGGCCTATACCAGAATAAAAATTCAAATTAACTTCCAAGCTATGCAAGCTCCCAGAGGTAAAAGTCTAAAACATGATTTAACTTACATATAAGGAAAAATGTATTGCTATGAAGATATATAACCGTTGGGAGCAGGTTTTAGATTATCTTTTAAGTTAACCAGACAAAGTTGTTTTTTTTTTTTTGTTTTGTTTTGTTTTGTTTTTTTACCCCATCACATTGGTTACCTTTGGTTTTTCAGGTATGGACTAAATAGCTCAAATATTGCCTGATATGAGAACATATTCCAATAGAACATTGGAGAAAATTTTAACAGTGCAGAGGGACCCACTTTAAGAATGTCTCTTTTATAGAGATGATTTCATGAAAGATTAAATATAATATTAGTTCCACTCATGAATGTTTTTATTTACAAAGTGCTTTGAAACTGTCAACCAAGGAGAGACAAGTAAGTAATTTTATACTGTCCTTACTTTGCTGGCTGATAGCAGAATATGACCATCTGCATATTAAAGCATTGCTATAAAATGCGGGGTTTTATGCAGGAATCTCTCCTTGCTACCCATTCTGGCATATTCAGAAGAAACAGAGATTATCCAGTGGTTATTGACAGATTGATGGTTGGTGTTTATGTTTGTCTGATCATTTGTTTTGTTTTATTTTTCTGTGTTTTATTTGTACCAATGTGCTAAAACTAGTCAAAATACTTGAATTAGTTTGTTTGTGTAAAGTGGCAAGCTTAGTAAAATGTTTATGAAGTAATAGCCATGAATGATGATTTGTCATGGATAGGGCCACTCAATTTTACACTAAGGATACTGAAAGAATTCCACGACAGAAAACAATTTCGCATGTTTACTATTGTTATGTTTGTGCTACACTGCAAGAACAGAGAAATCATAATCTAGAGCAAAATATTTTTGTGTTTTCTCAATTTTGAAAGTTCTGTTTTTTTCTTTGGACTTTCCATGTGAAGCAATTGACTTACATATTTCTTTATATATATATGCTGTTAAATTTCTTGTCACTCGTGGAGAAATTATATGAAATTCATAGATAATTTGGAAATAATTGTGAACAGACTGTTTCAAGTGCACTATTTCAGTTGTCTGAATGATCCTTACATCTTGTCCTTGAAATCCATGCCATGCAGAAACAAGGTATTACTGTGAAAAACTTTTACTTTTTTGACATTTCAATGGAATGCTCTGAGTTACATTAATTGTAAGTTTCCAAATAAGAAATGGCTTGTAGTAAATTGCAAAATTTGAATAGAACTGAAATAACCTATTTCTTATTTTTATTTTTCATTCTTATTCTAGACTAAATACATCCATATAACTGTGTGTATGTTATTTTTATTGTCTGGAGTACTCTTAAATGTTCGTATAAAATGTTAAGAGTTGACTGAATATAAGTACTGTTAATATATCTGAATCCTATGCTATTTTAAACCACGAAGCAAAAATGTCACTGAAAACATTGATATTTCTAAGTAGGTTATATTCATTTAAATAATGACAACCTATAGAAGGAAACAGTAATATAAGAATTTTAATAACTATTTTGTTTAAAAATTGACACAAATTAATGTGTCAACTTGTTTAACAATGATTTGCAAATGAATTTAATTAGAAATTGTGATTTTTACAGATTTATTTATTATTTTTGTGGGATAAGACATATTACCATTTTATTAATACTAATATCTAACAATGTACTGTCTATGTTTTACTTTATTTTTAATATTAATACCTACAAAGTCATTTTTTCAAAGGCTATTTAATTCAGAAAAATTCATATGTGTTAGTATTTGAATTAAACATTTATAGAAATAGATGTTATTAATCAAATTATTTATTTTAGTGCCAATAATTAATTATAAATTTATAATCATATCTTCATTTTATTCTTTGTATTTTAAACAATTAATATGTATTTGTGCCTTTGAATTAGCATGATATTCTCCTTTATCAAAAGAACAACTAAAACTGCCATCACAGATATATTTTGCTCACACTTATGACACTGGCATTATACTTAGTTAAATTAAATGAATTATCTCAATTAAAACTCATTTGCCTTGAAGATAAAATCTAAATTATGCTCTTTAATTCATTTGCACTTCTGAAAATTCTTTTTATATGTACACAAAATATTCTTAATGTGTTCTGCACTATCCTTTTAGACAATAAATACATTCTGGATATTGTTGGAACTGAGTCACTAGACAGTTGTAAGACAAAGGCAGCAAATGATTTTTTAAAATAGGGAAAATTATGGTGGTGTCAGTTGGGTCTTCATTACTCCTGTTGATATATATTTGATTTGGGATCATAAATCATCCTTGTGATGATAAGATAATCACTGATGAAACTATCTACAAATGAAATGGTAGGAATATTCTTTCGTTTATTAATTTAGGAAATATTGGCATAACATTATAATTATTTATGAAATCAGCAGTGTTCTTTTTCATGGAGAATAACATAAATTTCAATTTGAATTCCTCATGGAGATCTTTTACAAAATTATATCCAGAGTGCTTATTCAACAAAATTTAAGAGCAAATGAAAATATTTTTAAAATGATATTATTAGCATTATTTATGCCTAAAGAGAAATATTGACATCTTATTCTTAACCCTGTGGAGCAGTCTTACATATTCTCTCAAATTGAAATTGCATATGGATATATTGACACATAGTAAATTTAAATTGTGGAAAGTCAAATAAATAAAATGCTCTAATACTCAAATTGAAATCTTTCAAGAAATCATTCTATGCATGGTCTTAATGATGTTCCAAGATGAAACAATTATGTGTGTCAATGAGAAAGTGATAAAACAGCCTAGCCATAGTAGTTGCTGAGTAGATGTAATTTTCTTCCAAATTCCACCCTTTCTTTTTTAAATATTGCATTTAACCATATAGAAGCAGCTATTTGAAGATGTTATACAAGAATGTTAAAGATTAATTATTTCCTTTCTTATAAAAGTCAGAGGCTTTTATATTATATACAATGGTAAATATTTATTTAATAACAATATTCTTAGATAAAGTTCATTTTTATTCACTATAGGATTTCACTAGTAAACTAATAATTGGTATCACGTCTTTAAATGTTCTTTTTTGGAAATTTTCACATTTCTGGCCACACAATATTTCTAATTATTATTATAAAAATTGTCCATATGCATTTAAATATTGCAACTCTAATTTTTGTTCTCTCTTTTTTTTAATAATAGTTTTTTTTAAGAGTAGATAGACACAACACAATGCCTTTATCTATTTATTTTTTTTAATATGGTGCTGAGGATCGAACCCGGGTTCCGCCCGTGCTAGGAGAGTGCTCTACTGCTGAGCCACAATCCCAGCCCCTAATTTTTGTTTTCTGACATGAAAATACGTTTCCTTTGACATCTGGATTTAGCTTTCCATGGAAGAGAATTAATAAAGCAACAACTATTGGAGCATTTCAGTCACAAGCAGACAGGAGAGTAGAGGGCAAATGAAATGAAAGGATCCAGAAAGGCAAACTGAACTTCTACATTTGGAATAGTAAGAAGGACCTGGCTGTGAGAAAGGCTGGGCCAGGGAGTAGCGACATTGCATATATGAAAGTTAAGGCCAATAATACTGATAGTAAGGAGAAAAATCTACTGAAATCCATAAGGGAAAGTTAACAGAGATAGAACCTATGATTCAATCTAAAAATTTTTTTTACAAAACAATGCGTACTATAAAATAAATGGTATTGTTAAGAGCAAACATAGTTGTTCCAGCTCTTAAAGAAATGTTCATGGATTAGCATTTGCTTCTAACCCTTGTTAGAAATAGATGAACTTCTTAGAAATAAATTTTTTGGTATGTGAATTCTATGCTGTGTTCAGTATGCATTAAAACATACTACATTTTATTTTCTTTAACTTATATATTCCATTCAAATTCTATATTCTTATGTTAGCTACCATGAGATTTTCTTATTGTTTCAATATAGTATGTCCCTATGAAATGCTGTATATATATGTCTAAACTGTAAAAATTATACTGCAAATGTTGAAGTTTTGTATTTATGAGAGACATTGAAAGTATGGCTTATGGTATATCAAAATTGTCACTCTTCACCATTTGTATATTAATAGTAAAGATACTTTTACTTTAATAAAGTGTTGAATTTTATGTTTATTTCAAATAATACCTTTGTAAAGCGTGAGCTTATGGCTTGACAAATAGTTTTAGGTTTAATTTTTTTTCAAACATATCTCCAGATATCCATAAGAAAAGAATGCTTTTTGCCATCTTACATCACCCTGAGTCACAATCTTTTGACATCTTCTCTGTCCCCAGCTCAGAGAGATTAATAAACCTTTTAAGGCATTATCCCTTAAGATGCTTGTAGACAAGCAGCATATAGCATCATCTAGGAAATTGGTAGATGTCTAAATTTCTGCACCTCACCAGAGACTGGATGAATCAAGACTCAAAGTCTTTCTTGTTACTCTGATGCACATTAAATTCTAAATTCACTGGATGTGAGGCACATATTTTTTCAATTGCCAAATTTGTCAACTTATAAATGCTAGACATCGCTAAGTATAGGAGATGATGCTTTACTACAATATTGTGTGCCCCCAAACACCATATTCTGCAAAACCATGCATTTAAAAAACAGTATTGGAGAAATAATAAAATTAGAATGTGCTACTCAAAACTAATTCAATTTTTAAGCCAGAACACTAA